TGTGCGGTTTAGTGGCCGACTTCATGGTGTTACTTTTCTGTTACAGTGTTGCGCGCGCATCTTAAAATTTCACTCTCATCATTTTTTCATAACGCGCCCGCGGCTAACTTCATTATGTTACTTTTGTATTACAGTGATACGCGCGCATCTTAAAATTTCACTCTCATAATTTTTTCATAACGCAGCTAAAGAAGTATAACTTCAAAAATCCACGCGGACCAGGCAGCGGACGGGACTCGAACCCGCACCCTTCGCAATCCGGGCGATTGCAATATGTATATCGATCACGCCTACAAAATGGCAGATTTTTTTGTGGTAGCTCCCCTACATGTATCCTGGACATCATTTTATTTTTACATCGTCTATACTATCGTGTGAAGTGTCGTTGAATAGGTCATTTAACATTACTTCAGGGTTCCCAAGACTATTTTTCGATTAAGGGATTCGTTTGCGAAATATTGAACTTTAAAGTGCTAATTTTTGTTCAAATAAGGCTTTCGTTCTCTCTAAAAGCTAAACTATTGGCTTGAAAAACCTGGAAAAATTCATGTTTTTCATGAAATTTTAAGAAAAACTATAACGGTTAACATAGGTTTGTTAGTGTAAGAGTAATAGTCGTTCAACTTTAATTAAAGAAAGGAGACCCGGCACTTTTCATAGAAAAAATGCTTGTATACAGTTGAATTTGGTCTCAAAATAAAGCCAAAATTATTAGCTACATAAAAGTACTTTTGCCTTATTTTTAGTGAATCGTGGAAAGAAGTTATATAATGATTAATATTTTTTGATATGGAAACCCTAAATCTTCAAGGACAGAATTTTACTTCAAAATATTACTCAAGTGACTGTAAAAACCATGATTCCTTTGCTTTTTCTAAATAAAAAACCAAATGTCAATTTGACAATCCTAAAATACAAACAAAAAAATCATTCGCATTTCGCATCCGCTCCCGCGTACTGTGATTGTGAATGTTCTCTGCTGTGATTGCCTTTTCATTCGTTATTTCTCTTGACGACCCGGCTACATATAGAAGTTATATTGACAAAACTACGTATTTGACATTGACAGCTAGCTGCTGATGACAAATATTGCCAGACTACGTTACCCAATTATGAAACACAGATAAAAAAAAAATTAAAAAAGTATACAGCTTTGGCAAAAAATGCCGGTTGTCCTTTCTTACCCATTGAAAATTCCTTAGAAGAAATCATTAAGAGTGACATAAATGAAGTTATTGTAGCGTAAAACCTTGCATTGCAACAAAATCTAAAAAAAGACAATTTAAAAACCTCAATAAAATATCAGTAGTTCCACAACGCTACCGCGAGTACCAACGGCAACGGCTTCTGCATCGCGCTAACGTTATGTATTTATAAAAAGTATTTAAGCACTTGAAAAGATCGGCGGTTATACCTCATCATCCCCTTCTATCATCATCATCATCATCATCATCATCATCATCATCATCAGCCAATTAATGTCCCCACTGCTGGGGCTCAAGCCTTCCCTATGGATGGAATAGGGAGATTGGACCATGACCCACCACGCGGGCCCAGTGCGGATTGGCGGGTGCTAACTGCAGATGCAGCCGGGACCAACGGCTTAACGTGCCTTCCGAAGCACGGAGGAGCTCAAGATAGTAATTGATTTTTTGGTCACCCATCCAATGACCGACCACTTCGAAGGTTGCTTAACTTCAACGATCGCAGCGGAACGCGCTAACCACCTACGCCATCGAGCTCCTCAATACCTTTAATAATAAATAAATAAATAAATAATAAATATTTCCAACACAATTAGCCTAGCCCCAAAGTAAGGCTTGTGTTATGAGATACTAGGGTAACGGATAGAATACATATCATACTGTACAGATATAAGTATATTTATATAGAAAAACATATTAAACATCCATGACTGGAGTACAAATGCACGTATTCATCACACAAACATCTGCCCCCACCGGTACCTGGGACCTCTCGAGTCGGCGACACCATGAAACTCGGCGTACAAACCACTCGGCCACGGAGGTCGTCCTTCTCAGGGGCTCGGGCTTTAGATGAAGCTTTAAGTCAGTAAGAGTCCGACAAAACTTTGCAGCCGGCTGTAGGGTATCCATAAGGATTTCACACCCGCTCCCCCACCTGGGAGGAAACAAAAAAAACGGCGGTTATAATTCGTCTTGAAAAAAATTATATTATCAAATTAATTATGAGTTTGAGATACAGTTTGACTTTGATTTAGGTATTTTAGTTGAGATACATAGGTTGATATTAAAAGGTTTTTTTTTAATTTCCTCAAAAAAAATAAAGACTCCTGCTCAAATATACTGCGGTAACTACAGGCAACTACGGAACCCTACACTGTGCGTGGCACGACACGCACTTGGCCGGTTTATAGTCCTCTCATCAATTGTAATAATAACATAGATGTTAACACAATTCTAGTATTGGTCGTGTCCTTGTATTGATTTTAGGGAAATCTATTTATATTGTTTTTACAAAACGACTGATTCTCTTAAAAACGAATACACTACAAATTAAGAAAAAATCTTACCTTGTAATTTTTTTTAATTAGATTCAGAGTAAAATTAACTGCCTTTGAATATTGTTAATAGGGCTGCATCCACAAAATCCTTCGTTAACAAGTGTCCATAGCCAATACTCTGGCATCGTAAGCGCCTATAGGCTATGATGTCTACCTTTTCACATAAAAAACCTGTGTTTTCCGTCCGTCTGTCAGTCGACTGTTGCACATGAACGGTAATTTTCAATAACAGTATAACTTTTCTTCCGCTTTGAAAACCATTTATAATGTATAATGTACGTGTAGGAAGGCCAAAGGGGAAGATCTTCCTCCGAGCTGGGTGATGGTAGCGCGGGGGCCGCGGCCCGACTGATGTTGGTCGGGCATCGTATATATGAAGAGTTAGCCTCCGAATTTCATTTGCGCGATGTAGGCTTCCATACTAATATTGATAGCAGTGCAGGTAACGCCATCTCTTGAGGATGGTGAGTAATGATTTCCTAAATCCGTTGTATATTTGTGGGGCATATAGATGTCGCCGCCATATACGAATGTAATTACTTTTACGAGATACGAATACGAATTTACGAGAGTTTAATTTATAATGTACGAATCGGACTCGCATTAAAATTCCAATCTTTGATGTATTTTTATGACGATTTTATATTTCATTAGTGACATTTTGTGTGCCCTCAAGCGCTCGAACCATTATCATCATAACTGTTACTGGCAGCTATTTCTTCACTGCCTAAATTAATCCTATTTTATTTAAAATCTGCTCGAAATACAGCTATTATTTTGGTAAAAGTTACCCAGGGAAATAACCATAGAATATCTATATATATGTTACGCTCAAAGATCGAAAACGCTCAGTGAGCGGAAAAATAGCTCACAACGTGTTGTGGTCACAGTAAAAAAAACACATCGCGAAATTCATGTTATGGCTATAATGAAAACGCGCACGACGCGTTGTGGCATTCACAGAAGGACCAAATTCGTGTCGTGGCTGACATGCTATTCGATCTCAACGCGTTGTGGCAATGAAGAAAAGCCATGACGCGTTCTGAGCATTCATTGTTTTAACCATATCACGACGGACAGGTTGCAAGTTGATAGAGGACCTGCAGCACCCAGGAATGTTATGTGTGTTGTTATGATCATTAATTCATCAGGTCTCTACCAGTTAGGAAACAAGGAAGGTACATTCGATAGACTTTATGCACGTAATGAGTTTACACTTTCTGAAACCAACTTTTTTAACTTTTGTGATGTGCCCTCAACTTCGTCATTAACACTTCGCTCAGCATCTATGTTATCATCTGGAAGTGAGAAAGGGTTTATAATGTGCCACTGCAAAAGATAATGTATTGATAAAAAGTACAACTGTCGCTCCAATAATATAAAAAGCAACTCAAAATACCACAGTAATAGTTCCTGTAAAAATAAATAGCAATCAAATACTTATTTTTCACAATTATAGTCATTTCTAATATAAGTAATTGATTTAAGTACATTGTTGTTGTTTATTGGTGATCATGTTTGTGTTAAATATTTATATTACTTTAAAGAATTTTAAATTGTCATAAAAAAATTAAAATCGCTAATTATTTTAAGTGAATTATAAGTAATTTACAATTGATTAATATTTTGTGTTCAGTAATTTATTACTTAATACGTTGATTTTTTTAAATATAAAGTAATCTCAATAAATAACAAATATCGTTTTATTTTAATTAATATTATTATATAACATATTTAATAATGACAAACACGCTATGCAGTGATTTTATAAAATATTTCCTAAAGACATCTACCAAAACGTTTCCACCCTAGGCCTAGTAGGATCCATATCAGAAAGTAGTGTGCGTTGTAATTAAATAATATTCCATACGCGTCATGGCTTTTCTTCATTGCCACAACGCGTTGAGATCGAATAGCATGTCAGCCACGACACGAATTTCGCTATTTGGTCTTTCTGTGATTGCCACAACGCGTCGTGCGCGTTTTCATTATAGCCATAACACGAATTTCGCGATGTGGATGTTTTACTGTGACCACAACGCGTTGTGAGCTATTTTTCCGCTCACTGAGCGTTTTCGATCTTTGAGCGTAACATATATAAAACTCAAAGGTGACTGACTGACATAGTGATCTATCCACGCACAGCCCAAACCACTGGACGGATCGGGCTGAAATTTGGTGTGCAAGTAGATGTTATGACGTAGGCATCCGCTAAGAAAGGATTTTGATCGATTCTACCCCCAAAAGAATAAAATAGGGATTGAAAGTTTGTATGAAATTTTGTCAATTTTAAACCGATCGGGCTGAGACTTTGCATGCAGGTATAAGAAGAATCATAGATGAATGTCATTGTGTATAATACAAGCCTGAGAACAAAAACTGTAGTCTACACTTCAGTTTTAACCGAAGCGAAGCGAGGGCCGCTAGTATTTAATAAAACTAAAATCAATGATTTGGTTTATCTACTATTTAATTAAAATTTATTTAATCAAAACTTAAAAACCAGAAATTCATTTTACAGAATAGCCCCACTGAGGATTGAACGCTTGTATTAAACTTTGCTCTCCTCTTCACTGCAACCAAGCTGTCCGCTAGTTGTAATCACATTGCAAGCACGCTGTCTGCCTGCTGTAAGTATGTTATAAGCGCGCTTTCCGCTTACTGTAAGCGCTCCGTCCGTTCTCTGTAAACACGCAGTCTGAGCCTTCGCTAAAATTACACTCTTCGCTTGCTTGAAACGTGTAAGCACTTCATGCGACATGATTGCCCAAAATAATTTGCCCTTGTAACCTTTATGTAGTTTCGTGTTTGTCTAGTTTTAGCGAAGCTTATTTCAAATCGGAATCGTCCGAAAAATCTATTTGTTTACAGAATGGTAGGAAATGACCTAGCAGATGGCATAACCCTCGACAAACCTTCTGTTCCTTTGTAGTGATGTTCATTCGTTGATATTCGCCGTATCGAAGTATATCATGTAAATTTCATGACACAAAGAAGTATGATTACATGGAAACTTCTTCTAATACGGTACTCAGCGGCAATCGATCTACAAGCCATATAAATGTAGATTTTAATAATGTTATTTGGTTTGTTTTTATGTTTATTACCTATTAAATCTCAATGTTGTATTCGATTATGTTAGATTTATAGAAGAATTCTCATTTTAAACATTGAATCTAAATCATCAAATGCACGTAAAGTTCATTACAAAGTTATTCAAGTGAAGATAAAAATGTAGGACAGAATAAATTGACATTATATACAATTTATGTCCCAAAAGAGATACATTTATACTACGAATATCATATTTATGGCTAAACCGCATTTACTGCTACGTAATAACCATTGGTGATACAAAGACAAATCATACTCGAAAAAGAAGCTACAGCCTAGAAAAACTCACGTCGAAATATAAAATGTTTTATAGTTATGTAACGCTATATCTTATTCAAAAGGGGTTTATAGCGTCTACACTTTTATTATTATTGGTCTCGATAGCCTATACGGAACCCGACAGTATAACCTTTGGTTTAGTGTCTACGTTACGAGATCAAGCTGCGAAATGTATAATCCTCCAGATATCTTATTTATTCTATCTATCTTATCTTTTTTGAAAAGTTTCATCGATGTCGTTCAACAAGACATAGACATTCACAAAGATCCTGAGCTTCTTTCTTCGTCCTCAATTTAGTGTACTCCCGACGCGATATTGATATCGTCAGGTCACCTGATTGGGGTCATTCGACCCTGTGCTTTTCAAAACAAGGTCGCTATTCAAGTCCAAACGCAAATTGTAAGCTTTTTTTAATAGAGTAGTAGAGTATAGTTTACAGTGTTTACACAAAATAAATCGACAACATTTTTTTGTATTACATTAAAACTTCAGTAGGTTTATAACGAAAACCGACAAAGAGGCGGCGAAAACCATCGACTCGATAAGTTCAGAAAAGTCTTTAGCGTTGCATCACTCTTTCTAAAGCGAATATTCAAATTCTGTTTCCTGGCGCGCGGGAGAACGTTTGTCCGAAATTGATGCGCACCGTCCGGATATTAATATCCGCGGCAACGGATACGCACGGATATTATGTCGGTGACGTATAAACGCTTGGTCCGTACCGGGGATTGAGTGGACGTGAGATCTTTGAGAAATGCGGGCGTGAGCACAAAACTATTTCTCCAATACATAATTTATTATGAGTTTGTATAGAGTTGACGAGAGGTCGTAGAGTATGAGGGTACTGGACACTTTCAGAGTAACATTTAATTTTTTTTGAACAGATAAACAAGAAAATTACATAGTCATTTAAAATTACTCATATTCAGTCGTTATCCTGGTACATTATTGATTTCAGCATATGTATTTATGTTATCGTTTAGTTGATTCATGAAAATTCACAGTTTCTCTTGTTTATTGGTATTCTTCAAAAAAATAATATAGTTATTTCTTTATTATTATTTATTATTTATATTATTTATTCGTATTACTGACTATTATATAAAACTAGCGGCCCGCCCTCGTTTCGCTTCGGTGTAGAGCTGAAGTGTAGACTACAGTTTTTGTTCTCAGGCTTGTATTATACACAATGACATTCATCTATGATTCTGTTTATACCTGCATGCAAAGTCTCAGTCCGATCGGTTTAAAATTGACAAAGTTACATACAAACTTTCATTCCCTATTTTATCCCCTTGGGGGTACAATTGATCAAAATGCTTTCTTAGCGGATGCCTACGTCATTACATATACCTGCATGCCAAAGGAGATTGGTCAAATTGGCCTAAATGCAAATAAAATATTAACATATACAGTAATTCTTGGCGTAATTTATACTTTATTTTACAGTCATTAGATATTAACGGCCACCTTTAAATAATATATTAATTTTAAAAAAGGACTTCTATTTTTACCGGTTTGGAAAACATACGAATCATTTTTATTGGCTATGGGTGTAGTAACATTCACAAAGACTGATCGAGGTTGTTTATATAATATCAAAACAAATCTATTTTGTATAGATTGATAAAATATTTCGATGATATTTTAATTCAAAATGTAGATGATATGTAATATTAAACGCAACATAAAAGTACTAAAGTTGTTTTATTTCATTAATTTACCTTATCAGAATATTTAAGCTATGTCAGGAATATACATATTTCACACATTGATCAGAACTATCATGAACCTACGCAATATATTATTACATTAGAATTACCTTTTACCATTATAAACCTAATTATTACTAAGAAAATATCCTATTGGTTTTTATAAAATTATGATAACAGTTCCATGTTTCTCATAACATAGGTAAGCAGGTACCAGTTCCTTGACATGCATTTTGTTAGTGTAATTAGTGTTAGACACTTGTCAAATGAAACAAGATTGCTTCTGAAAGTTGCAATGGCGCATAATCATGATTTTAAAACTTACTCTCTTGTGCATTAATTTTAAAAACAGGCAATTATCTGTTATTTTACATGCTCTATATACCTGAATCTAATACATAATATCGGTACTTGGCTTGATTGCCCTATTTTCCTATATAATTTATTTGGTTTTTATTATTCTAAAATATGGAAGCTGAGCAATCTCCTTTCAGCCCGATCCGTCGAGTGGTTTGGGTTTTATATATATAGATAATTGAACCCACCTAGTAAGCAAATAATGCCTGTGACATGTAACTCTGCTCTTCCATAACTAAATTACAGTCACTTTCATTCCCTATTTCATCCCCTTGGGAAATGAATTGATCAAAATTCTTTCTTAGCGGATGCTTAACTCATAACATCTACCTGCATGCCAAATTTCAGCCCGATCCGTCCGGTGGTTTGGGCTGTGCATTAATAGATCACTATGTCAGTCAGTTACCTTTGAGTTATATACGAGTATATATAGATTACCACTGATGTGAGCTCAGTGAAGATTTATAACTTTTTAAACAGGTACGAGCTTCATCGCACTGCATCTCAACTTTCACTGGGTGGGTGAAATAAAATTAATTCGAGTCCCTTCGCCATCAAAATTCGCAAACACTCGAATCGGAGTGCGCACCGAGGTCAGTAAACTCGACCTTACGAAATAAGACAATGAAACAATACTTACTTTTGATTATGTTGTGTTGTTGGTGAGTAAGGTTTCAGGGCAATTTTTTTTAAATAGGTTAAGGCCATTAACACGAAGAGGACTACTACATCAACTACCATTGTGATTGATCTCCACTTACAAACATCAGATTGGGTGTGATATTTCATTGCGCCTTAAATTTGTACCCGAAGCACGAATAACTAGCGAGAAAATGTTCGTATCGCCATCATCTAGGCTCTCACATACATAAAAAACACATACGCACATACTGCTATACTATATAATGATATTGAAAATTAGCTACTAATGTAAAGAAATTAAGTCCTTTAAATAGTTTATGGTTTAATACGTTAAATAGTTAATGTATGATGCCTTCCCCCCTGGTATGAGGACCGCGATATAATATGTGACGCGTGCTTTGTCGCGCTCAGGTGTCAAATTCTTTGGAGTTTGACAGCCGGACGTGATATGACACGTGATACAATGTGAATTGTGGTGCTCATGCTACGGCGGCGGGATCAATTTGTTTTCAAAATTGTCTATTCTTCTTTCGGAAATAATTTTAATGTCAATAATTGTTATAGTAAAGTTTAATGTAAAAATTGACGAAAGAGCGAGTATCCACTAATACAAGTACAATACTTAAAAGGGAATACTCAACAACATGTTTATATGGAACTTGTAAGCATTAAAGATTTTTTTCATTTTTTTCATTTTCAATTTCATCATCAAAGTTTCTGTGAAAAAGCTAGTTTGTTTTTACGCCTGGTAGTGGCTGCTTAGTTTCCGTAGAAACTTTGATACGACGGCAATACTGTAGATTGGCAGTAGCCGGTGGCACCGTTAGCATGAATCAATACTGTAGGTCAGCAGTAGGCGGTGGTACCCTCAGCACGAACCAATACGGTAGGTCAGCAGTAGCCGGTGGTACCCTCAGCACGAACCAATACGGTAGGTCAGCAGTAGCCGGTGGTACCTTCAGTACGAACCAATACGGTAGGTCAGCAGTAGCCGGTGGTACCCTCAGCACGAACCAATACGGTAGGTCAGCAGTAGCCGGTGGTACCATCAGCACGAACCAATACGGTAGGTCAGCAGTAGCCGGTGGTACCCTCAGCACGGACCAATACGGTAGGTCAGCAGTAGCCGGTGGTACCTTCAGCACGAACCAATACGGTAGGTCAGCAGTAGCCGGTGGTACCCTCAGCACGAACCAATACGGTAGGTCAGCAGTAGCCGGTGGTACCTTCAGCACGAACCAATACGGTAGGTCAGCAGTAGCCGGTGGTACCCTCAGCACGGACCAATACGGTAGGTCAGCAGTAGCCGGTGGTACCCTTAGCATAAACCAATACTGTAGGTCCGCAGTAGCCGGTGGTACCTTTAGCATGAACCAATACTGTAGGTCAGCAGTAGCCGGTGGTACCTTTAGCATGAACCAATACGGTAGGTCAGCAGTAACCGGTGGTACCCTTAGCACGAACCAATACGGTAGGTCAGCAGTAGCCGGTGGTACCCTTAGCATGAACCAATACGGTAGGTCAGCAGTAGCCGGTGGTACCCTTAGCATGAACCAATACGGTAGGTCAGCAGTAGCCGAACGTACCCTCAGCATGAACCAATACGGTAGGTCAGCAGTAGCCGGTGGTACCCTTAGCATGAACAAATACTGAGTACGGATCCGTCCAAATTCGTGCTTGGGGTACTTGGGGTGCTGGTTCATCAGTAAATAACGATACACCTCTATGTTATAAAATAAGTAGGATTTTTAGTATTAGTACCTTATTAGTAGGTACTTATGCTTTGATGCATTTTGAAAGAACTAACAATATATGAGTACATTTAAAAATCAACACGTTAATATAAAATACCTATTATCCAAATCGTGGAAAACCATTTCGAGATTAGATAAATAAATATACTTTTACTAGCAAACCAGTGAACCAAATATTCACATAAACCTGATTTAAAAAAAATGAATTTAATTAATTGAGAACTTCGGAGATTTTGTGTGGTTTCGTTTGAAATTCGTGATTTCTCGAAAATCGGAAGTGCTACGTTACTCAAATCCGGTTTGTAGTCTTATCAGACTATTCTTAACTTATAACTTAAATATTCTCTTTATCTATCTCTTACGGTTTGGCCGCTGAAACAGCACCACAGACGGACGGACGGACGGACTTGTCTAATAGATAAGAGATATATTGCTCTTATCTTATTAATAGCTCACTTATAGTAATGAGGTTACGTTTGAATAAGAATGAAAATTCTTTTTCTCTTAATGAAATATGCTCGGTACATTGAGAGTGTATACTCACCTCTAGAAGACTCATTTAAAATTACTGGTGCAGCTCCAGCCGTCGTTATTTTATTTATTGGTGAAAAATCTGTTTTCATTACGCCACTCGCATTCAACTCTTACAAATTGAATTTGTTCCAATACCTTAATAAAGGGTGGTGCTCACGAGGTTGCTAACTTGCTTATCATGGTTTTGACATTTTGAGCAAGATTATTTTTAAAATGGAATTTTCTGATAATAACAATAAAAAAAATGCTTTAAAAAACGATATTATGAGTTGGTACTATATTAACAATGTGCACATGTTTTGCCATATAAGTCTAGCATGCAAATTTTATACAAATCTATATATATATAAAACTCAAAGGACTGACTGACATAGTGATCTATCAACGCACAGCCCAAACCACTGGACGGATCGGGCTAAAATTTGGCATGCAGGTAGATGTTATGACGTAGGCGTCCGCTAATAAAGGATTTTGATCAATTCTACCCCCAAGGGGATAAAATAGGGAATGAAAGTTTGTATGTAACTTTGTCAATTTTAAACCGATCGGGCTGAGACTTTGCATGAAGGTATAAGAAGAATCATTGATGAACGTCGTCGTGTATAATACAAGCCTGAGAAAAAAACTGAAGTCTACACTTCAGCTCTACACCGAAGCGAAGTGAGGGCGGGCCGCTAGTTGAATATAAAGTTAAATAACATGTCAACAATATAACATCATCAAATCATGAAAACTGCTGGTACAGCTGACATCTACTCAAATTGTTCTTTTGCTTGACTGCACTTAGTTTAGTTTATGCCACTGAGTGCCAGCTACCTTAGTCACTGCAGGTCATAACATAAAAGAAATAGTTAAATTAACAGGAAATAATGTGGAGGACTTTCAACTGAAATTCTGTTGGAAATCCGCTGTGGTGTATCTCTTTAGAACTAAGTTTTCAAATCTTTCTTTAGGGAAATTAGACTGAGTGCAGGCATCAATGGGCAGCAGTGCTAAATCTTATTTACAAAATTCTCGTGTCACAATGTTAGTTACCATACTCCTCCGAAACGGCCTGACTGATTTTTATGAAATTTTTTTATGCATATTCCGTGGGTCTGAGAATCGGCTACTATCTATTTTTCATATCCTTAAGTGATAATTGGTTGTCCACCTGTAACGTAATGTTCTGAAACCTACAATGCGCCTTCACGCCAAAATTAAAACTTTTGGGTATTGTAAAGTAGTGTTCTCATATGGGTTAGGAGGAATATTATCCCAGGAAATTGATAGAACACTACGTTACATACCCCTAAAATTTTTTTTGGACAATATTTATTTTTTTATAATGTGGTATTCAAAACACATGCAACCCTAAATCTTCTCTTCTACCACCAGCGTATTTTTATGGCGGTACGAAGTTCTCTGGATCAGCTAGTATAATCATAAAAAATCTGGTCTAATACTATCGTTTCATATAAAATAAAAATACCACTTTTACAGGCTCAAGTCAATATAGAAGTCGGCTCGATATCACTTATATTATAAATATAAAGGTTGCCTGGAAGAGATCGCTTTAAGCGATAAGGCCGCCCATTGCATCACGTGTACTAGATGGTTTTGTACAATGTTCAATGCTTTTTTTTTATGGTGTACAATAAATAGTTTTTGTATTGTATTGTATTGTATATTCTGATTCACCCTTAAATCATTTAATTTATTATTCGAAAGGATTGCGAAGTCTCTCCTAGTGCTTCATAAGCTACTCTGATCACGATTAAGTAAGCCATATTGTCTGCTTACAAATGCATCCATTTCCTTTCTCCCCATCTCGTAAATATTTAGGATTTGGCTCGAAGGACCAAAAGTTAAGTAGAAGGAAATTAATCTCATTGTTAGGAAACGAGGCACATTCATAACAGAAAAGACAACTAGATGTGCATATAAATATATATATATAAAACTCAAAGGTGACTGACTGACATAGTGATCTATCAACGCACAGCCCAAACCACTGGACGAATCGGGCTGAAATTTGGCATGCAGGTAGATGTTATGACGTAGGTATCCGCTAAGAAAGGATTTTGATCAATTCTACCCCAAGGGGATAAAATAGGGAATGAAAGTTTGTATGAAACTTTGTCAATTTTAAACCGATCGGATTGAGACTTTGCATGCAGCTATAAGAAGAATCATAGATGAATGTCATTGTGTATAATACAAGCCTGAGAAAAAAAACTGTAGTCTACACTTCAGCTCTACACCGAAGCGAAGCGAGCGCGGGCCGCTTGTGTTGTATAATATTAGCACTATTGAAAAATTCTGTTTGTAGATTAAATTAATAAACCGAATAACAGTAATTAAACTGTTTGCGTAACATTAATCAAAAACCCATGAATCAAAGAGAAGAACTCAGATATGATGAATCTTCTAAAAATGCCACACTCTTAAATACTTGAAGTTTATAAAAATAGGTAATTAATTGCACACGGAGCTGCGAAGATATCGTGGGGGAGGTGGTATTATCTTTTATATTAATAAAAAACATACTTATTTGGTCATGAAACAAACTACACTACACTTTGAAAGCTCGGTAATAAAAATATCCACTCCTTTGAATTACTCCGCATATCTGTGTGCTGTTTATAGACCGCCTATTAATTGCAAACACCTTTTTATTGACGAATTACAAGGATTGTTGTTGAAACTAGATAAAAACACAGACTTATTTTTGCTCGGAGACACCAACATAAACACGAAAGAGAATTCTCCTGTAATACATAAGTATAACACAATTTTATCGGCAACAGGCCTTGGCTGCGGAATTCGGGACTACACTCGCATCGAAATATATAATGATAAGATTACTAAATCTTGCATAGATCATGTGTACGCACGGTCCCGCAGCCAAGATCTTTATACTGCCGCACTCGGCACTGTACTAGCAGACCACAGAATGATCGCACTAGCATGCGTTCAGTCACGTATACAGGAGGTTCAAAAATATAAATTCATTTATGATCATCACAAATTAAATTCAGCACTGTCCAATATTGATTGGAGTAAAATAGAAAACTTATCTTGTCCTAACAAAATATATGATGGCATTCAAAATGAAATTAATAATTGTTATAAAGAATCGAAAAAGAGAATTAAATTAAAAAATAATGAAAAAAGAAACAAAAGTTGGGTATGTAATAAAAGAATAAACGCGTGTAAAAAAAAGGATAGCTTATATAACGAATGGAAAAATGATCCTGATAATATGGTATTAAGAAGAGAATACAATAAATACAGAAACTATGTGAACAAAACTATAGATCGTGAAAGAAACAACTACACTAAAAATCTTATAATTGACTGTAAACGAAATATGAAACAGCTTTGGCAAATTTTAAACAATCTAACAGGTAGAATAAAAGAATCAGTAGATAAAGTAATATTGGATGCATTTAAAATCAGACATAGTGAGGACCACAAAAGTATTGCTAATAATTTTGCAAAATATTTCAGTAATAGTGTAATAGTTATTTATTATACAAGAGTGGAAAGTTCCTTTTTAACCGCGTGCTCGATTTGGATGACCGAGCAAGCGAAGGATTCTAAAGTTGAATCACGAGCGCAGCGAGTGATTCTAAATTAGAATCCTGAGCGTCAGCGAGGGAAACAAACGAGCACAAGGTGAAAAATCTTTCCACTCGAGTGCAATACGTAACTTTTCATCCCACCTCAGCGAGGAAATGACAAAATGAAAAAGAAAACAATTTATAATGACAAAATATTTTTATTTCAATTAAAACACATTAAGATAATCTATAAATTGAAGAAAATAATAAGAAGTAGAAAATAATTAAGAAATATTAAATGTAACGTTGCTACAGTTACTTATGTTAAGTTTAATATTTTTGTTAGGTAATGTTATGTTGGTGTTTGTGAATTGTGCGCTGTTTTGTGGTAAACTACTCGTATCAGTAATTTTAAATAGTTGTGCCGATTCATTGGATTCTATTGGCGTAAATGTTGGCGAGAGAGGGCTATTGTTTCCAATCTTATGGGGGCTCATTTTAGATGTAGAAGGGCGAGACCAAGAATCTGACAGAGGTTCTTTCAGCGTTATGGCCTCCACGATACTATTACAAATTTTTGATTTACTTTGGATTGAATCCTCTATGTATCCCTCTACAACCGAATTAGACTTCCAGCCTCCATGGCGCTTAAGCGATAGAAGATCAGCCCCTGATTCGGCCAAAAGTGTGGCTGAGGTTCTTCTAAAACAGTGACCGGTGTATAACGGGGGTTCTAAAAGTCCGAGAAAAGTTGCTATTTCT